TTCGCTTGGTTTGTCAAACCGCTTGTGTGGTGTATTTCGCTCTTTAGAATTTTTTAGAGTGTCAAAAGAGAGCTGCCGCCTGTTGAAAAAATTCAGTTTGAAATTATTTAATAAGTTAAATGGATTTTCAAAAGATGGGTTTCAATCGAAATAGGTTTGAAAATAATTTATTTCTAAACTGTATTTAGCAGAGTTGCCATGCGCTTGAAAAATCAAATTCAACTGAGTTCATCAGTTAATTGATATATGTATAACAATGCCAGACGTTAACAAGATTTTAGTTTGAAAATACTTTTAAAGGGGTTGGCACCTGTTGGAAACGTCGAATGTATTTTACTTATACACAACCTACACAAATGAAATATCGAAGTATTAGTGTCAAGCGGAAGAGTATTAAGAAAACTTTAGGCTGATAATATTTTTAATTAGGGTTGCCATCTATTTTTTTAAGGTCATCACATTTGCACTGTTATTTCGAATTTCCAAAATTAGAAGTTAGATGTGCAATAAGGTTTTATGTTTCGAAGCTATAAACTTTTTAGCGGTACAGGGAGAATTTAATTTAATTTAATTTAAAGAAATGGAAACTGACACCATGGGAGACCTCTCACCACTCAGAAATGGTTCAGATGAATCATTAGGAATATTTTTTGAGATTTTTGAATAGGGTTTCACCTGTTTAAAAAGTTAAATTCAATTTTGGCGTTTCAACGCCATGCGGGTTCACTAGTAGTAATTAATGTCTAAAAGAGCGTAAAGCGTACTAGACTTGCAAAAGAGATTTTCGTTAGCTTTCATTAAAACCCTCAGGCCGAAATTTTCATTAATAAATTGTTGAGTTTCTATAATCAATCAAATTCTGAAGTAGGGCGTACTTGAAAAGTTTTCTGAGATAGGACGTGTTTGAACTAGCTGCCGAGATAGGTCGATCTTCCACTCAGCCATCGAAATAAAGATAGGTAAAGGTTTCAGTACGTGTGGAAGGCGCCACGCCCCATTTTCCATTTGGCCCACATTTTTCTTCATGATTATGCTATTGATTTCTTATATCTCCATGCCAAGGTCCAGTTTATCATGAACACTTCCAGAGAAATGCAGTATGAAAAAATCAGTTTTTATGGGAGGTGCCACGCTCCCTTTACATATAATTTTTTTTTTAGCCGATAACCATCCTTGGAAAGTAGGTGTCCGAAATTAAAAAAACAAATCGGTACAGCCGTGCACGAACTTTGCGAACAGGAAAAAACGGCTTTCAAAATATATATTACTTTAGATAATACGTGTACCAAATTTAAAGTAAATCGGACTATAAATAAGATTCTTTCGAATACCGGAAAAAAAGTAATTTTTTTTTGCCCTTGACCTGGTGGTTGCTGAAAGATATTTATATAAAAAATTTCATGAAAATTGTTCGTGAGATTACTTGTTACAAAAAAGGGGCTTCTATTTGTATAACACAAGGGAACAAAAATGGGGAAAAATGTTGTTGCGGCAAATGTTAAAGCTGATTTTAATTTACTTTTCTGTGCTGATTACGAATCCGTCACTATAAAATTTCTATCAGCACAAGATTTTGAGAAAAACGAAGTCAAAAAATCGCGATTTTTTTCCATATTTTAGAAGCTTTAGCAAAGTCTTAAGTCTTATAAGCTGTCGTAGTATTGGACCATTTTCCAGGTAGAGGTTTTGAATTACTGAATTATCCGCTGATACGGAGGAAGGACTTTATTGGGTAGGGGGACACTGGTTTGAAGAACCACTAAATGTCCTTTACTTCTTTGGAGGGAAGACGCTAGACTTCTATTTGGTTAACAAACAGTAACAAGGCATTATTTGTTGGCATCGCATGCCATTAACTTAGGCCTCAATTATGATAAGATTAGCAAGAGATGCATAACGAATGAGGAGACAATCTCCTTTGAGAGCGTTCAGTACTTTGTTGACCGCTCGTCTGTCTCCTGGGGGTCGGTTATCTACCGAATCTGGACGCAAGAGCGCTCAAAGTGTATCCTCTGTCGGTCTCAACATGATCAATTTTCCATAAACTATCATGAGACTAACTTGGTTTTTACGCTCCTCATATGCTGATTCGATAGATGAGTAACAATTAAAAGACCTGCCGTTTTTTTAGACACTTTATTCTGCCATGGCGAGTTTTTTCTTTTTTTAATGTCATTGTACCTAATATATTTTGTTAATATTAGAGAATACTAATTAGTTTTCGTTAGTTATTAACGGATAAAATTATTACCTGCAAAATCATTTCGTTCCGCAATACCCATAAATCTAAGCAAAAGTTTCAAACTGCAACGTAACAAATTGCTTTTATTTTAATTACATGCCATAATGTTTTATTTTAGTAATGTTGAAGTGTGCATACATATGTATGTAGGTATGTATGTACATACCCTGCAGAAAAAAATTATCATTTGATAAAAAATAGCCAACTTATGCCGAATTTCCACTAGGCGTTGAAATGACAAAAAATGTATGCCATTTAAAAAAATTCCATGTAGAAATGAATATAATAATGACCTTTTTTTTAACGTAATGACACGTTTATTTTTTAATGCCCGACTTTGTCATTTCTGCCATTTAATGCCTAGTGGAAATCCAACATTATAGTACGCTTTTTTTGTGGGATTTCGATAAATACCTAACTTTTAATTAGCTATGACAAAACTATCTTAAAGTGAGGTGTAAAGTTATGCAGGAGTCATGCAGACATTATCGGGAGTTTGTTTTCTCTACAAGTTTCTATTAAAAAATCCTCAGACAAAAATTACTTTGAATACACTTTTTTTCTGCGCTTTGCAGATGCTTTCTCGAATTCAGGAAAAATAAAAGAAATATCGAAATTTAAAAAAAAAAAAAAATATATATTTAATTTTAATGATAATTTTCAAATCAAAATGACAACTGACGGAAGTCGTCGTGCGCCGCTATTGTGTTTACTTTGACGGATTTCACAGTGGTAACTGTACAGCTGTTCACTTACCGCCGACCGCTTTACCGTCGTTCGCTGTAATTCTGGGTAGAGCTTAAAGCGGCGGAAACCAGTTCTCACTTTTTTGCTGTCATCGCCCTTCAAAAGGAGCTAGTTACGACCGAAGGAAATAAGTAATAAAAAGTTACAGCTAGTTGACTGCTGACTAGTTATAAGTTAGCTGTAAACTAGCCCCATTTGCTGCAGGGTATGTGCAGAAATATATTTGTGCTTATGTATGTCTGTCTTCAACTTCATGCGAAAAATTATAATATGTATTTACAAACATACATAGATATGTACACCTCTAGATGTACCACCATAGGTAGTACCTGCACTTGAAAATATACCAACATATATTTTTAACATTTGTTTAAATGAATATCATCTCCCAGCTTGAAAGTTAAATACAGAAAAACAATAAAGTTCAAATTTGCATA